CTCAAGTTAGTCAGAATTGCCTGAAAAATAAAGCAAATATTTAAATACAGTAACCTGATGGGGTGCAACAATGCAATGGGGGTTGGATGAAAATTCAGCCCCTCTCACCTCCTTGTTCTCATTGATCTCAATCTTGCAGTGCTCACCGGACACCCAGGGCAGGCGCATGCGGATGTCACACTCAGATTTCCTGGGTGGGGAAAAAACCCACACTTTGAAGCATTTCAAGGCATACAAAAGGCAGAAATATCTGCTAAGGATTAGGGATTTCCCAACCTTTTAGCTAAGAATTGTGCAGCAGCATGATACTTCCTTGGATGTGAAGAAAATGAGCTAGCTAAAGGCTTTGGAAAGTGGGGAATAATAGGTCACACTGGGACAGCTGCAGAGAATCAATGGGAGGAAACGTGTGTCCTCAACATAAGGACACGCAACTGTTGGAACAAGTCCAGAGGAGGCCACAAAGCTGATCAGAGCATTGGAGCATCTCCCCTATGAGGACAGGCTGAGGGAGGTGGAGCATTTCAGCCTGGAGAAGAGAAGGTTGTGTGAAGACCTCAGAGCAACTTTTCAATATCTGAAAGGCCTACAAGGAGCCAGAGAGGGACTCCGTGTTAGGAACTGCAGGGACAGGACAAGGGGTAATGGGTTCACACTGAAAGAGGGAAAGTCTAGGTTGGATGTGAGAAAAAAGTTTTTGCTGTGAGGGTGGTGAGACACTGGCTCAGGCTGCCCAGGGAGGCTGTGGCTGCCCCAACCCTGGCAGTGTTCACAGCCAGGTTGGATGAGCCTTGAGCAACCTGCTCTGGTGGGAGGTGTCCCTGCCCAGGGCAGGGGTTGGGGCTGGATGATCTGTAAGATCCATTCCAACCCTTAAAGTCTGTGATTCTATGAAATGCCCAAATTCTGGACAAAGCAGATCACAACAAGCTGGGAGATGTGTACAACAAACAGCTGGTGGCTTGAGATGACTTATTTCCCAAGATTTGTAAAATACTTTTAGGATATGTAATATCTACAGCTAAGTCATAGTCATTCCTGAGCACCCTCAGGACAGAGAACAGGTGGCTGGACCTCTGGGCTCACCTGGAAAACCAATTCTATGCCCTCTTATAAAACAAGTTTTCTCTCACTAACAGCTTAAGTCAGTGTCATTGATACTGAAGGGCTTCTCATGGACTTTCACTATGGAATTTAATCCTGGAGTGAGTAATTTCGGCATTTTTAGGCACTGGAACGTGCTGCCCAGGGAGGTGGTGGAGTCACTGTCCCTGGAGGTGTTTAAGGACAGACTGGACGTGGCACTCAGTGCCATGGTCAGGCTGACAGGTGATGTTAGGTCATAGGTTGGATGTGATCCCAGAGGTCTTTTCCAATCTTAATGATTCTGTAATTACAATTATTTAAGGATCTCTCAGTCAGTAAAGCATGGAACAGACCCAGTTTAAGAGAAGTAAAACTACTTTATTTGCACCCTATTCACAGTGAGATAAATTAGTTGAGTAAAGAAGTAAAACTACTTTATTTGCAGCCTGTTTACAGTGAGATCATTTACCCAACTCTTCACACACACTGTCAAGGCATATTAATTTTATGTTTACTATAAAATAACTGGATCAAGCTCAAACCCCACTAACACTCAGCTAAGTCAACATGAGTTTCAAGACCGGAGAAAGAGGTAAAAGGTCTGATGAATTTTCAATATTAATTCTAAATATTGGTTGACATATTCCATTACAAAAGAAAGAAACAGGAAATTGTCTTCACTAGTCAATTACCTGCAAACTGCCTGTGGATGAGAAAATGTCATCACAGCCTGTCAGCTGGGGATTACTTTTAATCCCTTCCCCAGATTTCTTTTGGCCAGAAACTCCAAATAAACAAACAAACAAATAAATGGTAGTTATGGCAAAGAAAGGGGAAAAAGCAGTGAAGAGCTCAAACTGAGCCTTCTAGTCTTACAATTAACCTCAGTACCAATATCACTTTCCCTCCCTGTGCACCATAAATAAACATTAAAAGCTCTGCAGGAAAACCATCACTTGTTTATTTCCTGTAGGTAACAAATTCTCACCTTCCAAACAAACACAAGGTGGAGGTGAGTGGGAATATAATTCCATCTGTGCCATTCCTTTTGATCACCACAATCTTCCCGTAACGAGGCATCTCAGGGCAGGAAGAGCCTTACCTACAACAGAATTCCAGATTACTCATCCCAAATACTCATCCCAATGATGCTTTTCATATTTATGAGAGTAAATCAATGTGATTTCTTTTATGGCTGTCCAAGAACTATTTTCCAAAGGACAGCACAAGGCTCTCAGTGCTGTTTACATGTGTTCGCACAAGGCTCTCAGTGCTGTTTACATGAGAGCCTGCACATTTCCCTGTGCAGAAAACTGGGAATGTTTATGTAAACTCTGTTAGGCTGTTTCTAAGGATTCCAGAGGTGTTTGCTACCTAACAGAGCCTTGGAAAAGGTTCGGGGCAACACAGACTGTGTTCTAGCACCTAAGCAACTGAACTCAGTCCTCACCTAAAACTAAGTATCTCAGTCTCTTACCTACGCGGAAATTGTTATATTTCATCTTAAAATAAAGAGAAACTGAATGACTGGCAGACAGACAACATGGGGGAGTGGGGGCAAAGTAGCCACCATGGACAGGGCAATAACCAGCATGGGGAGTGCAATAGCCACCATGGGGCAATAGCCACCGTGGGAGGGGAACAGTCACTATGGGCAGGGAGGGGGAGCAATAGTCACCACTGGGGGTGGCACTAGCCACCACGGCGAAGGGGCATTAGCCACCTTGGGGGGGAACAAGCACTACGGAGGGGAGCAATAGCCACTTTAGGAAGAGGGCAATAGCTATCATGGTAAGAGGGAACTGAGTCACTGCAGGGGAGACAAGGCTTCATTTTTTTTGGGGAGAAGGGCAAGAGCCACCAGGGGGAGGGCACTAGTCCCCGTGGGGGGGCAATAACCACCATGGAGAGGGGCAATAGCCACACCATTGGGGTGGCAACTACCATG